GTTAAAAGCAAATACATAAAAGCTTATGCAACAGAATGAAGGAAAACATTTTGGAGCATCCCTTCTCTTCACAAAAATGAAGTGTGATAGGACTCCTGATCTGGGGACAACAGGGGTGTAGATGGCAATTTGAAATGTATACATGTACAGACAATCTATTCCCTTCCACCTGCTGCATTCTCAGAAACCCCAGCAGGTGAACACATCACTGTGCACAACTTGATAACTAACACAGCAGGTACTGAGAGATTTAAAGGTCTAGTGTATTGATGAAAGATTTGACAACGACCAAAGGGAAAATGTACAATCCAGTAGTTTGCTTTAAACAGCGTTTCCCCCCAGAAAACTAAAAGGCATATGCTCTGGTGTACACCTACACCTAACTTACTGTGCTGGCAGAATTCTCCCCCCTTCCTTGGCAGTCTTTTTTGGCGGGGGAAAGTGATCTAAGGAACAATAAAGGATGTCGGATCCTGTTGGAGTTAGACCACCACAATGTTCTCAGCAATCTTCCCTCAAGACAAGTGGTGAGCAGTGAGGTAGAAGCTGACAGTTAAGGGACTTATTCATGAGTTGGAGCCAGATGACAGGTTTGAGTAACTCTAGCCTTTTCTAATAGTCCCTGGAAATATTGGGTTCAGATATACTCCATGGCTTTCTCAAAGCAAGAATGGACACAGATCGATTCTGCACGTGGATTTCTTGAACAGTTACTCAGGAGGAAGAATTCAACAACCTCTTGGGTTCACTCACAGCCAGGAAATAACACCACAAAAGGCTCATGGCAATCAACAGGAATTGGCAATAATTCACTGATGATTTGGATCCAGATCATCATGTTTTGTACTTAAACTCCAGGCCTATTATGCAGGGGAAAGGGCATAGGCCTAGAAAAGACCTGGTGGGTGATCAAATTTGGTCTTCCAATATTGTAGGCAATTGCATTTCATAACAGACTCAAAGTTATCAAGCCCCATTTTAAGACTTGTTGGGGGGGGGGGGGGTCCCCCTTTCTCCCCCCTTTGAGCAGGGGTTTGGGAAACA